CCCACAAGAGTGTCCCACAAGAGTGTCCTACAAGAGTGTCATTTGGACATATGTAGCTTTTCGAACGTGTTTGCATTCGGGTTCGTGGGCTCCATCTTGTTCAGGTATTGTGACATTGTCATCGGATTACCATATGATTTACTTGGCTTCAGATTTTGGTACCATGGGGTGTGTTTCCTGGCGCTCAGTCAGGTGTGTAGGACGTTTTGCACAGTAGGACGTTCTTCGGGCTTCTCATTGGTTATTCTCTTGCTGGGGCCTTCTCTGCAACGAAGCTTGGTTGGCTGATGTAAAGCCATTTGCCTTAGTGCTACAGGTGCATGTCTCTTTCAACGGTTTTTGTATCACATGCGATATTGGTTGTTGTCGTAGTGAGATGCACGGCTCCACTTGACAAGGATTGGAGTTTGCAATGCCTACATTGCAGATCTAACCAGCACAGAAGAACGTCCAGTGCGTATGGCGCATCTGAATGGCAGCAACTCAGAGTGCAATGCTGAAGAGGCTGGGTGTACTACTCTCTTTAGTTGTTTACACAACATGAAAAACATCCGACTGACTAAGGTATTGCACTCGGTGTCATGACTGGGCCAGTGGTTGGAGGCCTCATTAGCAATCAAGGCTTTACGGCCGCATGCCGTCCCTTGAATTCAGAAAAAGACTGGCGGGCACTGAACGAATTGAAGGTGGGCATAACGACATAGATGTTATGGATATGACCGGACTAAGCCGGATTCGTGGAGACTCCCAATTTGATTTTGTAGTGTGCTAGAGACAATACAACATGGCATAGACCTGCGTGTTTCTCCCTCTATTGTATCACAATACTGAGAGGAACACAGTTGGCGACAACAAGGTTTCAAGACCAGATCACCCCAAGTCCACTTCATTCTTCACAGTATTGAGTATTTGTATGATTGATCCTAGCATGTGGGTTGCGTATTTTCGCATTCATCATCCTAAGGTGTTTGCGCTCTTCTTTCAGCCTCCAACTTTGCCTTCACTTGCTTCTGTCTTGGAGATCCTTCTGCATCTGGCAAAGCTTCTTGATACACCACCAGCCAGGGAACAAGCACTTGTTTCAATTTGTGTTTGCCAATGCAATACTGAAAGAGACCAAGGCTGATGAGAAAACAGAGGAGAAACCAAAGATTCCAGGCTTGGCTTGGCTTCTGTGCCTTGGCCTCCAGAAGCTCAAACCTGCGATGTGTTTTTGAGCTGGGAAGGTTGCCTCGACCACTGTGAAGTATTAGTTCAGAGCAGTCCTACACCTCAAGACAAATTAGTTCAGGAATCGGCCGACAAAAGATTTGGGCCGAGGGAAGATTTGGGCTAATGGGTGCGACAGGACAGCTAATTGAGACCATATTGAGACCCACTGGAAGCTCGTTGCTGCCTGTGGGCAAGACTGGAACCCTATGGCTTTACTGTGCATGACCTCATGTTCTCAACACATCCCGCACTATCACTGGAACGTTTGCTTCAGGTGCATTGGTGCGTTCCTGGGAGAGGCACCAGAAACGGCGGGAAGGAGCAAGGGTGAAACACATGCAAAGCAAGGAAACCAATGGAGGCAGGAAGAAAGGAAGGAAACAAGAAAGGTCCCAAAGAAGTACCAAGAAAAACATGTATAACCTACTGTATTATATATATAATATATTAATATATAACATTATATAAGGTCTCATGTTGTCGGTCAGGTTGGTTGGAACAGGCGGGGTACTTTCATCTGGACGGTTCAGCGATTATTTGCTGTTGATTTTCCATTCGATGCCATTTTTCTAGCTGATCAAGCGAACCCCCCGATTTGTTTTTGGACGTGCCTTTGAGGGCCTGGGGAGTTCGCTCAAATGTCTAGGATCCCACCTGCCGCCCTAGCTAGACAGATGGCCAATGCACTTGCTGGGATGACGCAGGATCAGTGGCATCCAGGACTAGGGTCGAAGAAGAGATCCCCACCGCCCGATCTTGAGCTTCCTTCTGCATGTGGATCAGAGAAGAAGGTGGTGGTGGTGGAAGATGATCAGCCAAAGAAAGCCCAGGAGGCCCAGACATCGATCGATGAGCCTTGGGCCGTGGATGATGATGAGGCTCAACCTGCACAAGGTCAAGCGAGCAGGTGAACTGGGGCTCCTCCTCCACCTGCAGCCAAAGCTCGGCCTGCAGCCGCCTGGAATGCAGCTCCAGTGTCAGGCAGCTCGGGGGCTCCTTGATCACTCCAGTGAGACTCCAGCCGCTCGGCGCCTCAGAAAGGAGCAGGAGAACATCTCTCTCTCTCTCTCTCTCTCTCTCTCTGTCTGTCTCTCTGCGGACAAGCATGCATCTCCAGCAGCCAAAGCCTCCCCACGCAAAAAAGCACCCAGCCTGCGGGGCAGCGCGCCAAGAGGATGCACGGAAGGCATTACTATTAAGTGAGTTCCCCCCCCTCAGCACGCATCACCTGTCAGGACTTTACCATTGAGTGATTTCCTGAGCAGCAGTGTGAAGGTGGAGCTGACGTGCAGGGTCCTACTGGTGCTGGCCGGAGTGGAAGGACTTTAAGGAGCGGTGGGGGACGTTCGAGGTGAGCTTCGATCAAGGTCCGATGGGGCATCAGAGACGGAAGCCTACGAGGTTGGGGACCAACGTCATCAAGCTCTCGAAGCTGCAGGACATCCGAGGCCCTGGAACTGGGGGTGGGGTTGCCTTGGCGGAGGACTTGGAGCGCATCAAGCAGAGCCGCGAATGGTCTGCGTGGGCCCTGGACTCAAGGCCGCATTGGCAGCGGGCATCAGGGAGACGCTCCAAGACCCAGGATGTCAGGTCAGAATAATTGACCTTGAAGCATGGAAGAAACACCTCATGAATGGGCGGATGTGTGCCGTGGTCATAAAAAGTTTTGCTGGTGCAGAATGGCCCCAGGAAATCTGGCTCAGCTCCTTGGGCACAGCAGATTGGAGTGGGTCATTCAGTCCTTTCATGGCCTGGATGGGATTGTGCTGGAAAGTTGATTGTCAAGTGATTTGTGCTATCGCATCAGGTTCGAGTCTAAGCCCTTAGGTGGAGCGCGCGGACTGAACAGTTGTTTTT